TTACTGCGGATATTTCGTGGTCCAATCCGCCGGGTGGAGTAAATTATGTGCGTTAAGAAAAATAATTATATTTTTTAATGGTATGGAATTTACCGTTAGTTTTCTGCATTCATAGAAAATTTCCAAATATTCGCATTTTACAAATATCGAGAGGCGATAAGTTGAGAGGGAATGGAGATAGGGAAAAAATTTTCTTTTACCGTAATGAGCTATTTGTTAGTGTGTAAAAGTTGTTAAATCTTCAGATTTTTAAGACAAAACCTGGCATCTAGAAGAAAAACGAGATCAAAAATTATGAAAAAATGGATTTTTGATAAAGGTAAATTTTAACGGACATTTTGTTCTTTTAAAGTTCAAATATGTTATGCCGCGATTTATGTGTTTCCAAAATTTGAAAAATGTTATGGTTTTGCTGGTATACATATTTGAAAAGTGGCATTTTTATGGTTTTGGATGATATAACTTTTAGAGCGGATAGATGGGTACATAGGATGTACGTATAAAGTTCCACCTTTTTATCTTCAAGGGTGTAAAAGTTTTGTAAACATGTGCACGGACGGACGGACGGACGGACGGACGGATAGAGTGAAACTATTAAGTACTTTTTTATCAAAATATTTTTGGAAAAGTGCTAAAAAGCAAAGTTCACTTTTTTAGTTGTTTCGTATATAACTTTTTCCAGCCTTTCCTTCAATTTCTTAGTGAGAAAAAAAAATTGTAAGACGGAAAAAAAAATTCAATTGACATTTTGAATTTCAAAATATAAAAATTATATTTTTACCTACAGAGCTTGGAAAGGGCTTGTATCTCGATAACAGCTTCAGCTCTATAGGTTCTAAATAGCTTTTCGGTCCCCAAGTAGTCCATCTAGCTCCTTTTCCGGTAAAATAAACTAAGTGTTCGTAAATGTAGTCAAGCGGGCGTTGTTGAAAAGGTTTTGGGATGCACTACTAATTTTGTTCGAGGAGCGCCCTGAAAGTCACAAAATAGTTCCTAATTGTAGGTCCCAAATATGGTCAAGTGTGATGCCATTAGAGAGTTCTTTGTGTAATCTTAACTTTTGCGTGAAAATAATACATCGCAAGGCTAATGCTACAACTAGATAGCAATTATTGGTTTAGACATATTGACTTTCAAAGATTTAGCAATAACAAATAATTTATCATGAAGATATCTAGTTTTGGTATTATAATTTTCAGATATTTAAGAACACTTTTAAGCTTAGATATTGGTCGCAAATGAAAGAGCATTCGATTTTGTGACGCCTAGTTTAATTATTTAAAAATATAAAATTTTCGAGTTATCTAGTTGTAGTATTAACCTCGCGATATAGTTATGCGACCTATTGTCGAAAAATTCTTGAAAAGCTCTACAAGTTTTGTTGGAGATTTTTAAAAAATGTTCGCTAAAGACTTTCAGTTTTAAAATATTTAAAGGGTGGGAAGATTTTATTTTAAATTGAATTTGGCAAATTAATTCCAAATTATAGCCTTATGCTCTTTGCGAAATTGAAATTATTCTTTACAATTCTAGGTTATTCACTGGTAATTTTTCAGACAATTTTTCCCGAACTTTTATTATATAATTTTAAAATGCCGAACATTTCTCCCAATATTTTTACATGTTTTGCGTTGTATCTTTAAAATTAACTTTCAAAACTTTAGGAGAATTATGTAAAGTATTGAAAGATTTGCTTTTACTATTGGTTCACTTTTTCCTGCTTTTCTTATCAAAATTTTTCTCATTATGTTTATGTTAAACAAAATGTATTACAATTTAAATTCGGGTATCAACCACACAAATGTGCAAAAATATGTAAAAAAGCTTTCTATGAAATTCCAATAACACTAATAGCAAGTTTATATGAAAATGAGTTAGGTCTGCAATTTTTTGAACTTCTCGAGGCGCTAAAAAAACAAGTTAAGGCTGTCTAGAAGTATTTTTTGAAGGTTAAAAAAATAAAGTTCAAAAAACTTTATCTAACAAATATACAAGAACTTCGAAAATGTTAAAAGCTAGAGTATTACTCGCAACTTTTTCCTAGGTTAATTTAGCTATATAACGCTAATGTAGATATTTAATGTACGTAATTTTTATGGTTTAATGTATATAGCTGTAATGTATATTGCATATGCAATGCCAGTCTTACTATTTTCGAGAAATTATTGCTTAAAAATGAAACTTTAAGTTAAAAACACTACAAAGTTATAAAGTTAATTCTCTCAAAAACCATCACTCTACAACTTAATCATACAAGTTTCACGTTACATTTATCAGATAAAGTGCTAATATGGGTTTATAATTTATGCTGATGTGTAATAGCCCGGTCAACCAAGAATTGTAAACTTCACAGACTCACGTTTAAACAAGTTTTTCAATCAGAAACAATCTTTTTCCTGAAATCACCCCAAGTAATAAAATGTTGTCTATGTATTTACATTACAATCATCGTACGATACAAGATATTTCTGATAGCTTTACTATTTAAGGTTTTCCAAAATTTGAAAAATGCTATGGTTTTGCTGGTATATATAGTCTACAACTTAATTGAAAAAAAAATTTTTTGTTGAATATACGAGTATATATCATAATGCTGATATAAACCGATAGCGATACGTTAAAGCTATCGCAAGTTTTGTATGAAAAAATAATGTAGCTTCAACTCTCATACTTTATAAATAAATTTTAATAAACCTCGTTTTAGAAGAATATCTGTACAATAATGCTGTACGTAATGGCGTTAATTTTTTTTTATTTTATATTATTTTTCTAAACTTGTTGTTGCCTCTTGTTTTCCTTTTTGCTTTATTAGTGTTTCTATGTTTTGGTAGATATATATACAAAGTAATGCCGCGGTAAAAAGATACAGTGTATGTATTTTTTTTTATCTAAATAATAAACTACTTTTTCCTATGCCAGTCCCTGGCAACCTATAGTTAGTTGTGTGTTTTACCACAAAAACCTCCTCCTTATTTTACTTTGATACTAGTCCCCTTAGATCAACTATTGAATTTTCTTTAATATAGACTGAAAGAGATTCGAACCTCCCCGATTTGGTGAAGAGGATTTTGCGTTAAATCAGAAGGCAAAGTCCTCTTCAGCGTTCTAGGAAAATCCCAGATAACAAGGAGCCGAGAGGCGTCCACGTTGATATGTTGTTCCAGACGAGCCCTATGACTCACCGCCCTTTGGTTAATTTTGTCAACTACACATGGAATTTTTAGATCTCTGTGCAAATCTCCATTTCGCACATACCAAGGGCATTCACCATATTCCGCAAAACCCTATTCTGGAATGTTTGTATTCGCTGGACATGTATTTGTGTGGCACATCCACACAACTGGATACCATACAACCAAACTGGTTTAATAATTTGGTTATACAGTAGGATCTTATTCTGTATCAGCAACCTTGACTTGCGACCTAGGACTCAATATATTTCTTTATATTTTAATTCTAATTATGTCTTTTTCTTCTTAGCATGTTCCTTCCATTTTACCTTAACATCCAGTGTCATTCCCAGATATTTTGCCGTATTTTCCTGCGCAACATTTACCCCAATTAAATTAACACGTGGGGGGTTTACAAGAACTTTATTTGTAAAACTTACTTGTGCAGACTTAGTTTCATTTACTTTTATTTCCATTTCTTGGCCCAAGCATCAAAGCTATTCGTTGTCTGCTATAACTTCCTTGTGGTCTCGTCAATATTTGATGCTACTGCTATAATTGCAGTATCGACAGCATATTTAACCACAATTGTGTTTTCTATTTAAGGCACATCTCTCGTAAAGACTAGATATAGTATTAAAACCAAAATACTGCCTTGAGGCACACCTGCTTTTATTTCTCTTAGTGTGGAATGGTCCCCCCCCTGTTTGACTCTAAATAATCTGTCGCTTAAATAAGAAGAGAGAATATCTACATATTGCTTTGGTAATATTTTTTCTAACTTGTATATTAATCCTTCGTGCCCAACCTTGTCAAAAGTCTGTGCCACGTCTGCAAAAATTGTTTCATAAATTTGCTTTTCCTCTAGAGCTAAGGCAAATATAAAGCGTCAAAATTGTTGTCTTTTCTATTTAACTTGCTTTTTTATTCAAGTTAAATGAGTTTAAAAATCAGTGACACACTATCAAAAAAGTTATCATAAACTATTTTACATTAAGAAATAAAAATTCAGTATTTTGATTTTGTATTATCCAAATGTTAATTTCAATACGTTCTGATTACAATTTACCTTTATTTTTAAGTTAGTACAACGTAATATATATACTTAAAGATTTTAGAACAGTGTGTATACTAATATTATTTTATAATAAGGGATTTGAGTTTTCAACAATAGATTCTAATTTTTGAAAAATCTATTTTAGAAAAATGTATCATGTGGTATGTTCTATATTGTTGAAATATTATTTTCACTACGTAATAAAATGAAAAGAGTGCTTTAATTCGTAAAAAAAAAGGTAAAAATCGAAAATCTGCCTAGGATTAAATTAAATTAACAAAAATAAAAAAAACTAACAATGCACCGCGACTCAAAGGTGGATCTATCATGTCGCTACCTATCACGCCTAAAACACTCCCTTGGAACCTTCCCTGAAGAATACGAGTATCTTGTGGAAATCGATTTTTCTTGCTGCGAAGACACAACCACCTGAAGACTCCTTTCTGCTATGGATCAACACTCTACACTCACCAAGAAGTTTAATTCAGGAAGGACTCTCCATCACTCCGATCTGGCCCCTTTTGCCTTTACCCTGAGCTCCTTCCGGATTTCCTGCAGCCTAATTCCAAAGAATGGATGTGGTCTATAAACGGTGTGTTGCCAGCCTTCTCGCTAGCACGCCAGTACTTTTAACCCAAAAAAAACTTAACCAGTAAAAAACGTCAGCTGTTAGAAATGTAGCAAAGAATTAGTTAAATTTTTAATTTCCAAATGCTAAGTTCTATGTTGACAAGTTTCATTCTAATTATTCTTATTTTTTCTATACATAACAGGAAAACGGCACATTAAATAGCCTAATATGCGTGATCCAAGAGCAATCTTCTTACTTTGTAACTCTGTTAAAATTTTAACAGAGTTCTGAAGTTTGGCAATATTCAGAACAAAACATTCGCAAAAGAATTAATGGTATTAGCCTTTTTTAACTATTATTTTTTTTGGAAAAAATTTAAATTGTTATTTAGAATAAAGTTGTAACTAATTTTATAGTAATATTTGTAACTAATCTTTTTAATAAAATTACTTGTTTAACATCATACGAATATTTTTTATGTAATTTTAAAACTTTGTTAATACGTAAACAATAAAACCATTTTGAGGTTTCTAGCAATACTGGAGGTAACGATTCTGGCAATACTGTGATGATGCTTTTAAAACAGTATCCTTGTTCACAAATTTTATGTTGCGCCTCATGCAATATATACAACAATGTAGAATTCCTCATAAATTGTGTATACATATATATGAATGTATGTATGCACAATACCTATGCCAATTTATTCAAAGAAGTAATGTTTTGTACATATATACGTTATATACTGAAATATATATTGTTCCTTGCAACTTCTCATTCTTCTTCAAATATTTTGTATTTTTTTTTTTTCAATACTTTTAGTTCGAGGTGATTTATAGGCAAGTGCAGATGTCTCTACCAATGTCGGACTCAATGAAATTCGTCCTGTGGTAAACGCCACATATAATTCAGTTCTATTATTATATTGATTTACGTTCAGTATGAATTCACATAAATATAATGATATTGGTTAAAGTCTTTATAATGTAATACATATTAATAATTTTCATTACGTAAGATATTATTTTGTGTTAGAACTTATTTCTACATATGTAATGCTTAAATACCAAATGAAATTTGTAATGTTATGAGAGAATCAAAAAAATAAAAATAACTTATTGAGTAAAATGTGTAAAGTTGTTGTGAAAAAGTGTAATTTAAAAATTGTTCAATTGATACAGAATTCCAGTAAATAATAGGTACGCAAAACAAGCGAATAATGAAATTTTTATGAATTAATCACAATTATATAAATTTTGTCCTTTTGATCAATAACAATTATAACATATTTTTTATGTTAATAATAATAATAATAAAAGTTATAATAATTTTAATTATTATAATAATAATAATAGTAATAATAATAATAATAATAATAATAATAATAATAATAATAATAATAATAATAATAATAATAATAATAATAATAATAATAATGATAAAAATATTACTAACAACAACAACAACAATAATAACAATAATAATAATTATAATAATAAAAATGATAATAATAATAATTATAATAATAATAAAAATAATAATAATAGTATGTTAATCATATTAATAGTAATTATAATTATTATTATTACTATTATTAATTATTATTACTGTAATAATAATGAGAATTTTTTTAATGAGAAAAGGTGTTAAAAATCATCAATAGTGGGAAACTTTAACCTAACCTAAAACGGACCGGATGCTCATAAACTCCCAAAACTAGTCAAGCTGCCTAATCATTAGTATTCCTCTATCCTATTATTGCGTCTATATTCCGTAAAAGAAGGCACGTAGGTGCTGCCACATCATTTTCGGCTAAATCGAAAGTTCTCGTTCGCTCTCCCATATAAGTGGGGAGGACTCCACATTTACATGCTGTTCATTCTATGTTTCATGGCACAGTGCTTGAATTCCTCCATTACTTGGAGGACACCCAGAGCACTATAAATTTCACTATTGCTCATATACTACCAGCGACTATCCTCTATATCGCAAGTGACCTTGTTGTGGAAAGTTTGTATTTCTTGGATGTGTGCTTACTCTGCCAACCCAAAAGCCTTACGTTCGTATAGGCAATTTATCGTTTGGTTATATATCAACATCTCGTTGTATTATGTCAATCTAGACCTACAACCTGAGAGGAAATAATTTTCTCAATATTTGTTTTCTAGTTCTATTCTTTTCTTTCTTACATGTTATTCCCATTTGAGTTTGACATCCAAAATCTTACTTAGATATATCGCTTTGGTTTGAACTTTGACACCATTGAAATTCAAATATATTCTATTATAAATAGGCTATTGCTGCCTGCAATTTTGTGATCCATTCTTCAACATGGGATCCTACTGCCAAAGCTGCTATATCGTCGGCAAATTTTGTCACAGTAACACTCTCTAAATTTGGCAAATTCCTTGTATAAAGCACATATAACATAGCACCTAGAATACTGTCTTGAGGCAAACCAGCCCCAACCCCCCTACGCGGGATTACTCCTCGTTCTGCTTGATTCGAAAGAACCTGTCAGGTAAATATGATTTTCTTAAGTTTAAATAATAAACCGCCATGCCAAACCTTGTCAAACGCCTGACCTCTGTCCAGAAATATTGTTAAACATTTTTGTCATTCTTCTAACACCTCTTTTACAATATTTGTTATTCTGTGTACTTGATCAATTGTTGCATGTGTGTACTTGCAATTATTGAAGCCAATCTTAAACCAAATTGACGATTTGGAAACAATTTTTCATTAATTTTTTATCATCGGCATCAGCTTCGTTAACAAGAATTTTTTAAAAATTTTTCATATCATTGGTAGCAGCAAAAGTCCATGTGACTTTGCCTAGCAACATATCTCAGATTCACTGCTGCATTTATCACTTTTTAAAACTTTTAAACAACTTTCTGTGTAACTAAATAGAGCTACAGTGCTTTCATCCATAACAAAATCTTCTACTAATCAAACACTAAAATTTAGTTCATTTGTTTGAAAAATTCCTCCCAAGGGATCAGCAAATAGTTCAGCTTTGTTCCTATTGCTCTTTGCCCATGATGCATCTGTTCTTTTCTGTTGGGGTACTCAATTTATCGGTTTCTTAGTACTTTTCATTGCTTTCCATAACAACTAATTCGTTTCTTTAGTTGTCGATTAGCCATTTGTATAATTCTCGTGTTATCCTAAAATTCTTTATTTTCCTTTTCAGTGTTTGAGATAGTCTATTCACAGCTATCTTATCGCAGCTTTTGTTATTAACGCGTAACCCTTCTTTTTTATACTATTGAGCTTTATACTTTATGCAGTTTCGAATTCAGAGAATCTTGTATTTTTCTAGGCAGTTTTCCGTAACAATTTAATAAAACCCTGCACTTCAGAATTTAGTTGATCTCTAGTTTAGTTGATTTCTAGTCGTACGAGGTCCTTGTTGTTTCAAAAAAAAAACATTAAACTAACTCGAGAGGTCTTGTACGTTTAAGTTTCCTAACAAAGTTTTGATCGTCAAGCAGACTAGCCGCCTCGACGTTGACATGTTCGGATCAACGAATTTTATGATTGGCTGCTTGCTTTTTAATTTCATCTTTGACAATAGGGACATCTCTGTGTCTGTCATCATTACGGACATACCAGGGCGCGTTGACAATGTAGCGTAATATCTTATTTTCAAATATTTGAATACATTAAATTTGAATCCACGCAGCGCAACCCCACATTTGAATACCATAAGACTGGCTTAAATATCTAAATGTATATCAAAACTTTGTTATATTATAGCTTGGCATCTAACGTCATACTCTGATATTATGCTGAATTTACATGTATCTGGAAATCGAATCCTGTTTATGTTTCTGGAGACTACGTTTAAGTTGTTGAAATGCTTGGTTGTACTTTGATTCTTAAATTTATTTTCGTCTTTATTTCTGCCGAAAGTTTTACAACAGTTTCTTATAACTTTAATATAACTGAAGAATCTCATGAAGATCCTTAAAGACGTCAATGAAGTTTTCTGCAAATTTCTTGGTAAAAAAGAAGTCTGGTAGATCTGAACATTTATTCGGATCGGTGGACCAATATGCAGGCCTGAAAGTGGAGTGAAAAATGCATCCCACCTCTCAATATTAATAATAATAATAATAATAATATTATTATTATTTTTATTATTATTATTATAATGAAAATAGTACAAATAATGGCAATAATAATAACAGCCAAAAAAATAATAATAATTATACTAATAATAATAATAATAATAATAATTATAACGAGAAAAAATAGAGTTGGCCGTGTCAACTCTGTGATACCCGTACGAATTTGTTATCCTATTGGCGAACAAATATGCCATAGCTGACTATGAGACAGACTATGACTTTAAGTTGCCATATTTATAACTGTACGAACGTATGTTCGAAGGAACTCTAAGAAATAGTGGTCTGAGATATAGAGTCAAGTGTATGTTTTTCCGTCCGTCAGTTCGTCCTAGCGATAAGTCAAAAACTAACTGAGTTAAGTTCGTCAAATTTTCACAAATGATTTGTTATAGTAATAGCCAGAATCCTATTTATATTGGATATGATCAATCCGATCATATCCAATATAAATAGGATTCAGAATTGGATTGGATACTGGTTCGGGTACCTGCCACACAGCTTTAAAATTTATTTGACTATATCTTAGAAACTATAAAAGCTTTAGTATTTAAACTTCTCATGAATAAATATATTAGTAGGGCCGATGTATTTAATAAAAGATTTCTTGGCTCCTTCTGGTAGCTGCCATACAAATTCAGTAGTTTGGCCATATCTTAGAAAATATTGAAAACACAGTGCTGAAATTTTGCATCTCTAAAAGGCAAGATTCTATAGTTTTTTATGTTTATTGTTTTGAGATCCTTTTTAACTGCATCTAGACATCGTTTTCTTGGGCGTCCTCTCCTTCTATTACCTTCTGGTATGCGGCTAAATATTTTTGTGGTGCTCGATCCTCTGGCATTCATACAACATGACCAACCCACTAGATTCTTTGCGATTTTCGAGTTCGTGATTCTATCTGACTCTGTAGCTACCGTCATCATTTTGAGTTGGACCAAAAATTTTACTTAAGATTCTCCTTTCAAATGAAGCTAGCATGTTAATGTCTTCTGCTTTTAATGACCAGAACTTGCAGCCATATGTTAATACCGGCCTAACCACGGATTTGTAAATTTTTAATAATAAAAGAAATATCCATTTCTTTCGCCAGCCGTTCTAATTTTTTGAAGGTCTCTTTTAAGTCATCGACTCTCTTACTTATGAT